ACAATATGACCCTCACAGCAGATCAGCAACACAATGTTACAGCCATTCTAAATGCACTGGAAGCTTGTTTCAAACCTGATAAAAATGTCATTTCTGAAAGGTATGTGTTTGGATGCTGCAAACAAGAAGAGGGAGAATCTTTTGATAACTTTGTTGCACGCTTGAGAGAAAAGGCAGCAACTTGTGAATATGGCACACTCAGAGACGAATTGATCAGGGACAAAATTGTTGTTGGTATAGCTAGCAAGAGCACACGCAGGCGCCTCCTAAGAGAACATGAGTTAACTCTAAACGCAGCCATTGAGACGTGTCGTACAGCAGAGCTCACTGACAGACGTCTGAAAGTTATGGAACAGGACAGACAGCAGAGCGACAGCATAAACATTGCAATGCAGCATGGCAACATGAACAAACTGCAGCAACAACTCCTGATTAGCACAAATACTGCCAACCCTACAGCTTGCAAATACTGTGGGACTGCATCAAAGAATTAAAGAGCAGTGTCCAGCTTATGGGAAGTCTTGTGGAAGAACAAACCATTTTGCTAACTTTTGTCAAGTAAACAACGGCCATCAATAGGCAAATTACACAACGTGGAGAACACATCCGCATATGAGGAAGAGACACACACCACTGAAGTTATATACAGCAGTGAATTGATCGGCGCTGTGCAATCCAGAGGAAAGAAATGGTTTGTCACTTTACATTTAAATAATAAGCCCCAATCCTGCCAGCTCGATTCAGGAGCAACTTGTGATGTAATGTGCTTAAGAGACAAAATGGTGTTAGCACCAGAAGCACGTCTCCTGCCAAGTGACACCAGGTTAAAGTTATACTCAGGTGCAATTATGAAATCTCTAGGGCTCTTCAAGACCAGAATGTGCCATACGTGGAATAACACACAAGCTGGAGTTTAACATTGTGGAAGCCTGCCAAAAGCCACTGTTGTCTGGCTCAACCTGTGAGCGTCTAGGGCTGATACGTTTCTCCATCCCTGCAGAGCTTAATGTGATGGACAATCCATCTAAGGGGCCCTTGAAAAAACAACTGCTGCTAAAGGAATTTAGTGATGTGTTTTACTGGGCCAGTAGAAACTGTACCAGGGGAAGTTCATTCGACCTTGATGTGAGTGTCCCTCCAGTCCAATGTACGCCACGCAATGTGCCGGTGGCATTAAAACAGGCAGTTAAGGCACAGCTTGACCAGTATGAGGCCAATGGACACTTGGCACCAGTGACTGACCCAACTGACTGGATAAGTAACATGGTGATTGTAAGGAAGCCAAATAAGCTACGAATACACATAGATCCCAAATTCTTAAATATGGCGCTCAGACGATCTCACTACATCATGCCAACTCTCGAGGATGTTTTGTACAAGCTGCCTAAGGCACGTCTGTTCACGCTTGTTGATGCCCGGGATGCATTTTTACTCTGTAAGTTGGATGATGCAAGTAGTTACATGACAACCTTCTGGACTCCGTGGGGCAGGAAAAGATGGCTCAAACTGCCTTTTGGAGTATCAGTTGCACCAGAGGTGTATCAACGTAACCAACATGAACTATTGACTGGATTCAGTGGTATTGAACCAATAGCTGATGACATCCTTGTGGTTGGCTGTGGGGACACAGATGAGGAAGCAGAGCAAGATCATGATGGCAAACTGCTGGAACTGATGAATCATTGTAGGCAGGCAAAATTGAGACTTGGCATGAAAAAGCTGCAATTCAAGGTCAAAGAGGTCCGTTTTCATGGACACATTCTAACCAGGGAGGGTTTGAAGGCTGACCCAGAAAAAATCAGAGCCATACTGGATATGCCGCAGCCAGCAAATGTGAAATCCCTTCAGCACTTCATTGGAATTGTTACCTACCTAGCAAAATTCCTACCACACCTCTCAGAGGTCTGCGAGCCATTGAGAAGGCTTCTGGACAAAGACGCTGTTTGGCATTGGCTTCCTAAGCATGATAGTGCAGTGCAGGACATCAAATGCTTGGTCACGGACACACCTGTACTGAAGTACTATGACGTTACAAAACCTGTAACTATTCAAAGTGATGCAAGCAAAACTGGACTTGGGTGTTGCCTATTGCAAGCTGGCCAGCCTATCGCTTTATCTTCAAGGGCACTGACTCCTACCGAACAAAACTACGCACAAATAGAAAAGGAATGTCTGAATATAGTGCTTGCCTGCCAGCGCTTTCACCGCTACCTCTATGGACGCGACGAGATCATGGCAGAAACTGACCATAAACCTCTGATTTCTATTTTCAAGAAACCACTTTTGTGTGCACCCAAACGTCTACAGAGCATGTTGCTCACGTTACAAAACTATTACCTAAATGTTGTCTATAAACCTGGTCCTGAAATGTACATTAATGACACTCTTAGCAGAGCTACAGCAGAGGGTGGTACACCTGAGTATGCACAACACACAGTTTGCAATGTTCAACGGGACCTGGATGTCCTGTCACAGATTAATCATTCAGACTATTTAAACGTCACGGACCAACGATTGCTTCAGATAAAACAGCACACTGAAACTGAGTAGAGTTTGCAGGCTCTTAAATATGTTGTTCTGAATGGTTGGTCTGATTCCAAGTTGGAAGTGCTATTACTTGTGAGAGAATATTGGACTTTCAGAGATGAAATCGTCATTCAAGATGGTATACTGTACAAGGGGCCAAGGGTCATCATTCCTAAATCTTTAAGATCAGAGATGCTGACTCGTATTCATGCCAGTCACATTGGCGGAGAAGCATGCTATAGGCAAGCACGTGATACCCTATACTGGCGCAACATGCAGAACGAGATTAGAGACTTTGTTAGCTGTTGCTCGGCATGCAATGAATATGCGCAGGCACAACAGAATCTATAATGTCGCATGTGCTGCCCACCTGGCCTTGGCAAATTGTAAGCATAGACTTACTGAATTATGCTGGACAGGATTTTCTACTAATTGTTAATCACTATTCCGACTTTTGGGAGATTGAGCAACTTCCTGACCTGTCTGCTGATACTACCATCAAGCGTTGTAAAGCACAGTTTGCACGTTATGGCCAGCCGGATAGAGTAATCTCGGATAATGGACCTCAATTTGCATGTGAGTAATTTAGACGGTTCTCTACAGATTGGGGATTCAAGCATGTTACCTTATCCCCAAGGCACCTGCAAGCCAATGGCGAATCGGCTGTCAAGATAGTGAAGAATCTTTGTAAGAATGCCAATTTGATGGTACTGATCCGTAGAAGGCCATTCTACATTGGAGAAATGCCCCATCTGAAGACATGGACAGTAGTCCTGCATAGCGCTTGATGTCTAGGAGACTGAAGACTTCATTGCCTGTGGCCAACAAATTACTTGATCCTTGTGTGATTACAGGTGTCTCGGCGAAACTGCAGTGGAGGAAACGGATTGCGAAACTATCATTTGATGTGTCTGCTAAAGACTTACCTGAACTAAGCATTGGAGAGAGCCAATCCGTATGAAGCAGCTTCCAGGTGACAGGACCCGGTCGCTGGAGACTGGGTTCCTGTGTTCAGAGGGTTGCTCCTCGATCATATCTTGTGGATGTAAAAGGCAGTCTTTACCGCCGCAATCAAGTGGACCTGCGAAGGGCAGAACGATTCACCGCACAAGCCTATGAGCATCCTGCACATGATCCTCCTGAGGTACTCAATGCCCAAAGCAGAGAGAACTCTGCTGTCATATCGGGATACAGTGAGGATGACACAATGCAGCCACATATCCCGTCAAGTTCTTCTCTGCCAAACACACCAGCCAGGAAAGAGGGTAGCTCCTTATCAACACCTTCTGGAGCTGAAAGGATTTCCCCAGGCAAAATCCCTGTGGTCTTGCGTAGTGGTCGAGTTTCAAGACCACCAGATAGACTCAATTTGTAGTGTATCTACCAGTAACACAGTATGCCATGTTCAGGATCTGTTTTAGTTTAATTGCTTACAAGGTTTGAATTGAATGTAAAAAAGGGAGATGTTATAGAGTTATTATACAAATACTGTGACCCTACTTGCATATGGTAATATTGCATTGCCTTATACTTCCTGTTTCCTGTTCTATGCCTAACCTGGATGCAGTTCTGTTGTTCAGCATGATTCCTCACACCAGCAGCTTGTGTTGTCTTCATTCCTGTACATGAAACAATTGTTATGATGATAATGATGATGATTATTGAAGGAAGGACAGTGAACACATGGTTCAAATCTCCGCCAGTTCAGCAGGGACCAGCCAAGATAGAAACCAAGCATGGGCAGGCTGAATGTACCCAAGTCAATTGTATGGCTTGTGTACAACCAGCCTGTCGGATTTTACATGCGATTATTGCTTGTATGGGTGTGGACATTTTTGAAAAAACTACTGACCCCCCCCCCCCTTCCTGACCAGGCCATTTTTTGCGTTACGGTGCTGCGTTACTTTGACAATTGTGCGGTCATGCAACGCTGCACCTAAATTAAATTTACGCCCTTTTTTTCCACTAATTGAGCTTTCTTTCGTGGTATTTGGTCGCCTGTGCATTTTTATTTTTTCTGCTATAAAAACAAAAAAGGCTGACAATTTCTAGAAAAAACTATATTTTTGACTTTTTGCTATTAAACATATCCAGTAAAAAAATTTTAAAAAATCAAATTTAATCATAAAATTTAGTCCAAAATATATTCTGCTATGTGGCTTTGCTAAAAAAAATCCCAATACATGTAAATTTAATTGGTTTACATGAAATGTTATAGCGTTTACAAATGGCAGTATAGATACTGGGATTTTTCATTTTTTTTTTTTTATTTCTATTAGTAATGGCGGCAATCAGCAACTTATAACTGGCATTCTGACATTGGGGGGAACTGACTTGGTGTCACTGACATCCCCAGTGATACTGATATAGTGATCAGTGCTAAAAGAAAGCACTGACATTGTACTAATGGCATTGGGCAGGAGGGGGTTAACATGAAGGGCGATCAAAGGGTGTGCTGGGAGTGTTTTGTATAGGGGGCTGTGTCAGTGTGTTTCACTGCAAGCACACTGCTTTGGAAGGCTGTGGTGTGCACAGCCATCCAAAGCAGTGTGGCCGAGCTGACAGGGAGATCTGTTAGTAAACAAGACAGTTCTCCTCTCCGTCAGAGATCATTGGAAATCACCGAGCGCCAGCGAATAATCACCAGCCGAGACCCAGTGATTGACAGCCATGGCCGTGAATGGTGTTGCTGGTAGGGCTTGCGCGTGCCCTCTGCCCATAAATGCAAAATCATGTATATATACATATGATCTTGTGCACCCGCGCCACCCTATAGCAGTATTTCTGCTATAGGGCGGACGGGAAGCGGTTAAAAACAAAAGGGACTTTATGGCAACTTAAACGTGTAATAATTTTTAACATTGCGCTATTTATCTCCTCCTCACCTCCCTGCCTGTCTCCAGCACCGCACCCGGGGACTAACAGGGAGGGGAGAGACCTTGCAGTATAATGAGCATCGATTGGGTGCTCGTCAGGAAAGGGGAGTGTCGGGCTTACCCTTTATCCCTTTTGCTGACAGAGCCGTTGTTGCGTTTTTTGCACACGTTTAAAAATTAATTTTAGACCTGAAGATTACACAAAACAACCAAACATGATATATTTTCTGAAAGCAGGGGCCCTAGAGAATAATATAGTGGTAGTTCCAATTTTTAATGTTGCACGATATTACCGATATTACTGCAAAATGTCAGTAAAAAATACACACGTTACTTTTTGGGCACAAAAAAGCAATAAATGACCCTATTTTTGTTTTTTTTGTAAAATATAAAAGATGAGGTTACATCAAGTAGATAGATGTCCAACTTTGTCAAACATTTAAAGCCCCTTTATAGGTCATCAGTATAGTGTTACGGAGGAGGTCTGCTGCTAGAAATATTGCTCTCATTCTGGTGATTTGTAACGTGTATCGCAATCAACGTTTTCATGCGTAGGTGCCCCAGCGTATGCTTTTACATTTGTACATACGTATATTTGGGGGTGGGGGTCCTCAAATTTAATTTTGGGGGGATGTTATGTGCTTGGCTGTAACTTTATTTTTCTACAATTTAAAAATAACTTTTTTTACTTTTTTTTTTTTTTCCATCACATAGGTGATGCTTGCATACTAGTACATCATGACATTGCCTTGCAGAGGAAATGTTTTTTTTTTTAATTATCAGGTTTACTACCGCTTTAAAACACTTTTCTCTTACATTCATAGACAGACACAGCACCTGTTTATTCTTGACCATAGGGTTTGTAGTGCCATCTACAGGAGTAGGACACTAGGCAGAAAAAGAACACAGCACCGCCTATGGGCAGTCCTGACATATATATTTCCTCTCTGCTATAGGCAAGCCAGTCATTTCTGCCTAGTGTTTTTGAGTGAAGACCTAGTTCCCAGCTGGGACATATGGTTCCATTTCCTTTTTTCCTGCTGAAATCTTCAATCAACAGCTGGGCTGGATAATCTAGATCCAGTGGGCACCCCAGTCTGGCCAAAGTGTGTACGCAGGCCTTTAGCTACATGCTGGGTCAGCAAGAGCCCCATCAAGGACTGGGGAGGCAGGTGAGTTAAATGTATTGCAGAGACATTTGACCGAGCACCTATGTCCCGCTGGACTGGTAAGTAGAAGCCCCCCTTTGGGTGCAGTGCAGGGTGTGGGTGCTCCTGGGGGTGGTCGTTCCTGCAGGGTCCCCTCCTCCCTCATAGGTCTGGGTCCCTTTGCCAGTCCCCCAATGTCCCCTGTGGTGCATTGGTGTGGGGTTAGGCACTTCCTCTAGTCCACCCATACTTTGGTTGTGTTGCAGGGTGTAGCTGTGGGGTCAGTGCACTGTGGGCCTGTGCAGCCCATTTTGGCTGTACCCCCAGATAGACAGGATCCACTGGGGCTGGGATAGCTCTGCTGCCTGTGTGCTTTCTGCCTCCCTTCCCTTTTTTTCCAGGTTGGTTGAGGCTGCGGGGACCATACGAGTATCACTCCTGCTAACTAAGGATGTGCCTTTTCCCACCTGTTTTATGGGTTGAGGATGCTACAAACTCTCTTCTTCTGTCCAGGGACACTGCTTTGGGCCCTTCACAAGTGCACTCACCATGTGGTCGGACTGCCCGGCAATTGGGACCGTGACTTTTTGGCCTACTGGATCAGGCTGCCACGTCCACCATATTTCTTTTGGGCTGTTGCCCTTCCCTTCTTTCATGCCACAACTGAGCCTAGCGAGATGCCTTGTGAAGGGCACTGTTTTAAAGGGTGAACCCTGCGGTTGGCTGTTGCTGCAGTCATTTTGATTTTGGGCTTTGTCTTCCAGGACAGCACATGAGAGAGAGAGGCTCCACTCACCTAAAACAGGAAACACATCATCCACAATCAAAAAGAGCACAGTCATCACGTGTCCTCAGTATTTGTGTTTCTTCCTGCCTTACAGAAACATCAGAGTGGTTTGTTATTCTTTCATCAGGACTTCGTGCTAGTTGCAGGGGCCTCCTAGTATATTTTTCTCCATGATTCCAGGAACAGTGGACTTGAAGGGGTTGCATATCTGGTTTTCCAGGCTACTTTGATAAGTGTCCTAGTTGTGGGTCCTCCCCTCCCCATTACCTTCTCGGTTTTCCCCTAGGTGCCTTCGCCAGATGAGAAGCAGCTATCCCCGTGGGCAACAAGGTTCTAGTGGAGACCTACCATGCTCACATTTGTTCAAGCTCCAAATCCTCGGTGGCTGGTTGAGCTCCTCTTTGCTGCCAATTGGGATAAATGGATCATCATGGCTGCTGGCTTGCCCAAATCTTTTGGAAGGAGAACTGCATGGCTGTGGCAGACTCATGAAATCTATGGCTGTGGCACTGCGGGTGATGATGGTGACCCTACATACACCTGTTGTGGGGGTAATGCCAAGTGTGTGGCCAGGTTGTCAGCTGCTGTAATTTCAGTGTACTGGAGTTTCACCCAGTCCCAGTGGCCACATGAGTGCTGATGGGGCCCGCCCCCAACCTGGCAACTACATGCCCTTCCCCCCGCTACTAATGTTGATCTATGAGGTGGAAAAAGCTGTTTGGGGGGCATTGTTTCCCCTCTGTGTCCCTGTGGATTCTGCAGCTGCACATAATAAAGCGCTGGTGGCCACATGCATTATCCCTGTGTGGTAGACATTGCAGCCTGAGGGTACTTATGGGGCTGCCGAGGGGGTGAATGTTCCCTTTGGTACTTCCTAGCTGTGCTACAAGGAATTTTCCCTACCCCGTCTAATATTATGGTTTTATGTCTTAGGCCAGGGGGAGCCTGAACCATCCATTTATGGTCCCGGAGCACCTTTGGTGCATTCTCCCTTTGAGGTGGTCCTTCTGAAGGTGTGTACCTCCTTCCCTGTCGTGGACCATCCATTTCTCATCCTGTCATACCGGAGGAGGAGTCTCCTCCCTTTAAAGTGACAATAAATGTTCATCTTTATAAAAAAAAAAAAAAAAAAACAACAAACATGTCATACCTGCTCTGTGCATTCGTTTTGCACAGATAAGCCCCAATCCTCCTCTTCTCTGATCTCCTGCCTATAATTTTGGCTCTCCCCACCTTAGTGCCCCCAGAGCAAGCTGCTTGCTCTGAGCGCACTCGTGTGTGCTTGCTCTCGAGCAACCTCCGTGTCCAAGAGACACACAAAGTGACCAAGTGTGGCTTGATCTCGCCCCCCCGCTCCTTCTTCACTGGCTGTGTCTAAGCCAATGAGCAGGGAGAGACCCAGGAGAGCCACTGCTTTTGTGTGCATTGCTGGAACGTGCTCGGGTACGTATTGGGGGACTGAAGGGGGAGCTTCACATGGAGGGTTTTCTACCTTCACGCATAGAATGCATGAAGGTAAAAAAAAAACCCTCATCCTTTAGAACCACTTTAAGGATCCTGCGGACAGGAAGGCAGTGTTGGTTACCACTCTAGGTTTATGGTAGTGGACTCAGTGTTGGCATGACTCAGTGTAGCAGATGCTCACTGGGTGGAATGGACTCCTACACCAAGGACTGGGTAAAGTATGGTTTTCCCTGGTCTTAAGTCAAACTGGAGGACCAGGGCCACCTAGTCCAGGGTCTCAGGTACAACGTGATGTGTCCTTGGATGCGGCTCTCTTGCCTTCCAAGCTCCCCTTCTTGGCAGTTGTTCATTTCTAGGTTCTCTAGCTTCAGTGTTGGTCTGCTGACTGAACATCTGAGCAGGCCTTGGCCAACTTCCCTTCCAAGGCAATGTGGCTTTTTCATTCTGCAGGTTTCAAGCCCTTCAGGCTCCCCCAGGGGTGCTCCAAGCACACTTGGCACAACCATGTTCCCCTTCATGCCAAGCACCAATACTTCTTATGATTTGTGATCAGGGAGGCGCATTACCAGTATGTGGCACTCCCATTTGGTCTGGCCTCTACTCCTCAGATATTCACCAAGTTGTTGGCTCCAGTCCTGTCTTTGCTGAAACAATGGGGATTGCCATTCTTGGTTATTTGGTCAATCTCCTCCTCTGAGCTGAGACTCATTTTTTCGCTGTTAGACAATGTGGCGCTTATGATGCGTATTCTGCAGGAGTTTGGATGGGTTTTGTACCTCAAGCAGTCCACTCTGACCCAGACAGGAGGATGGAGTATTTGGATCTGATGTTTGACTTGGCGCAGGCCAAAGTGTTACTTCTGCCGGATAAGCTTCGGATGCTTAAGTTGGAGATTAGCTGCTGTTGTCCCGCAAGTGAGTTTACCTGCGATTGCGTATGCAGGTTTTGGTACCTCAGGGTATCCAACTTTGCGGAGGTCTTATATATGCAGTCTCACACGGACCTGGAATTCCTCTCCAAGTAGGATGACTCTCCTCTGTCCTTGCCAGATTAGGCTGGTCCAGTGGCTCCAGTGTCTTTAGCCAAGGAGTCTTTTTTTCTGCGACACTGGACAGTGGTCACTATGGATGCTAACCTATCTGGCTGAGGAGGAGTGCTGGGGCCAAGATCGGCTTAGGCCATTGGCTACTGGAGGAAACTTGACAATCGATCTTTGTCCTGGAACCTTCAGACAATTAGATTATGCCTAGAGCAGCTAACAGAGCTTTTTTTTTTGTGGGCATCCAGTCTGGTTTTGATTGGACAGTGCCATATTGATAACCTATGTCAGTCAGCAGGAAGGAGTGCGGCAACAGCGCTGGAAGTTGCCAGAATTCTTTGGTAGGCAGAGCTCCAATGTAGAAGCTTTCTCCACCATGTACACTCCAGCCATGGCAAACTGAGTTGTCAGGTGCTGGAT